CCGAGGGTTGCGATCCCATTGCCGGTCCTGGTCCGGTACGGGGGCGACACTGAGGGTTGCGATCCGTTGCCGGACATGGAAAAAGACAAAAACAAAAAAAAAAAAAAAAAAAAAAAAAAAAAATACAGCTAAAGTTTCATAGTCAGAGCCACATCAGATACCACCTCTCATCAGATACCACATCAGAGCGGTCCACTAGGCAGACTCCAGGGTATTTGTGTGTAAAATCAAGAAGGGACACTGGGGAAAATATCACAGGTATAAAAGATAAAAACAGCAAAAGGACAGCAAGGAGTCTTTAGTTCCCTTAACTGCAGCTACTAAACATCACCCCACGCACAGTCACCTGCCACCTATGTTCTTGGGAAGACCAGTTACCTAATCACTAGTCTTGGCATGATTTCTGTCACTTAGTATGAGATGGAGCACCATGGACAGAGCTGGGGGAGGAGAGGGTTGAAAACTGATCCATGGCACTCAGAGAAGCCAAAAACCTTGGAAGGCACAGACTCTCCTTTCCCTTGATGTGGCCCCCACTGGCTGAGAGACCTTTGGAAGCCTGCTGATGGGATCTGTGCCCTTATAAGAATAGACACCCTAGAGAAAGCTCACGCCCCCCCCCACTACCCCCTGCCCATTGCCATGAGAAGATACAACGGGAAGGCAGCTGTCTGCCAGCCTTATAAGAAGAGACACCCCAGACAGAGCTCACGCCCCCCACTACCCTGTCTCTGGGCCTCAGTGTTCTCATTGATCAAATGAAGTACTTAGAGCTAGATTAACATTCCATATTAATTAGTAGTATCATTACTAATGTCCAAATAATATACATATTTTCATTCTTCAATCAAAGGACCTACTCTAGGTTACTGGATTTTTCCAAGAATGAAGGGTAACTGTGAAAGAAAAATTTCCACAAATTATCTTATAAATACAAAGAAATTTTTATTTAGAACCCTATTATTTCGTATGCCAAGAAACTTCAGACTTAAAATGCAAGCTCCTAGAAAGGAGACATTGTCTGGGACAAGAGCTGGCCCTACGGAGGCTTGTGAGGCCACGTTTATTTTGGCAATAACAATGACTAGGAAGTTTCTCAAAGAAGAGCCACATGTCTGATTGACTTTCCCAAGGAAACCACAAAAGGAAGGAGCCAGTGCTGGCTTTCTGAATAATTTTTGTAACAATCACAGACACTGTGACACTGAGACTGTGGCTTTATTCATTTGCTTCTCCTGTGGGACCCTCCTCCACCCTGTCCTCTGAGTAAAGTACACAAATGTGGAAAGAACAATGTTTATTTGCCTGTGTTTTATTCATCTTTGTTTAATTTGTCATTCTATTCCTACCACCTAATAGGCACTTGGTACATAACTGGAACCCAATATATTCTTATCCATTCATTCAAAGTATATTTGTGTGTCAAAAATATAACAGGCAATGTTCTAGGTACTAGGGACATTGGTAAATGAAACAAGGTCTTATTATACACTTTTAGAGAGCAATATGTTTGTGGATTGCTGCTGTTGTTTAAACATGCCATTTGTGACACTGGAGTCACCAGTCAGTTACGTCTGTTATTTCTGACTCCAGTTCCATGATGTCTTGATTTCTATCCCAGGGTCTGACTATCCGTGTGTACAATCTTTGCTTTACCTACTTAGATAACTCTTTTTCTTTGTCTCTTTGTGTGGTTCTTACATACACACACTAATCATCCATTTTTTTACATTTTCATGAAGCTACTCTATTTACTATTTTACCCCAAAGCAAAAACTAAAAGAGATTTTTTTTACCTCAATGTCATCAATAAGTTCCTTTTTCCTCCGACGAATGTCTAGAAGTTCTTCTCTCTCTTCTAATGAGAGGTCTTCAGGCACTGAGAGAAAAAAGAAATCAAACCATTAAACAACAACTACTTTGGAGAACAATTTCGCAATATTCAGTAAGGTTGAAAATGGGTATATGCTACCACCCAGCAATTCTATATGTAGGTATCTATCCTAAAGAAACTCTAGCATATAGACCATGCACAATATATTCAGAATGATATTGTCTATAATAGAAAAACAAACTAAATATCCATCAAGAGGAAAATAAACTGTGACAAATTCATAAAATAGAATTCCACATATTAATAATTTTTTAAAAAATGAATGAGGCTGGCCAGTTAGCTCACTTGGTTAGAACGTGGTGCTGATAACACCAAGGTCAAAGGTTCAGATCCCCTGCACCCACCAGCCACCAAAAAGGGGGGAAGAAAAAAAAAAGGAATGAACTAAGTCTTTCAATACTTTGATGTGAGTCTAATATGAATTGAATCTCACAAATAAAACGTTGACTATAAAAGCAGGCTGGAGAACTTATACCATATATAATACCTTTTATAGAGAGTTTAAAATCAAGCACATCAGTTAGTAAATGTTTGGGGGATATACATATATGTGCAAAGAATAAATAAATGCACAGGAATAAGAAACACCGAATTCGTGATAGTGTCTCCTTCTGAGAAGGTTGGGATGAGAGGAAACACAATCCAGAAGGACATCAGAAGTTTTTTTTTTTTTTGAGACCGGCTGCACCGCACTCAGCCAGTGAGCGCACCGGCCATCCCTATATAGGATCCGAACCCGCGGCAGGAGCGCTGCTGCACTCCCAGCGCCGCACTCTCCCGAGTGTGCCACGGGCTCAGCCCGATCAGAAGTTTTAATGCAGTGGGTGAAGGGTGGTTGGTGTGTGGATATTGGTTGGATTTTTTTTTATTGACACAGAGTTGTTCATAATGTCTTCTTATTAACAATCAGCCTCTGCAACATTTTCCATTCCTACAATGTATACATTCTCTTTCCTTTGATTAATCATAATAGAGTTGGTTTATTTCAGTAAGCTTTTCAAAAAAATAGCTTTTGACTTTAATAGTACTTGATTGTGTGTTTAATTCCTATTTCATTAATTAGTTTAAAGAAATAAAAGATTAAGAATATGAAAAAACAGCCAGAGAACATGTAGAGCTTCTACAAACACATTAACAGGATGTGATAACAGCATACAGGCAGATAAGTTAACCGACAAACCAGAGAACAGAGCCCGGAAGAATACCCACAGACCAATGAAAACTTGATTTTCAGCAGAGCTGACATTGCAGCTCAAAATGATAACAGCATACAGGCAGATAAGTTAACCGACAAACCAGAGAACAGAGCCCGGAAGAATATCCACAGACCAATGAAAACTTGATTTTCAGCAGAGCTGACATTGCAGCTCAAAGGACAGAGTGGACTCTTTGATAAATGATATGTGTTGTCAGTTACTTGTATGGAAAAAAATGTTGCTTATCTGAACTTTACTATTAAAAAATATACATATGGAAAACATGAGATCACATACCTAATTATCATATCTTTTATCATTACAAGTGGATTAAAGGCTTAACTGTGAAGAGTAACACTACCCAATTTTTAGAAGAAAACTGAAAATGTTTTTGTAATTTCAAGGTAGGGAAGAATTTCTTAAATAAGAAGGAAAAACTGTAAATTACACAGGAAATTAATAAATTCAATGACGGTAAAATTAAGAACCTTTGTTCACCAAAAGTTCCACACCATAGAGTGAAGAGCTAAACAAGATCTGTCAAAAGATTGGTATCCAGAATATATAACTCCTACAAATCAATTAAAAAACAAACAAAAAAA